CCAGGGTCCTGGGATCGAGCCCCACATCGGGCTCCCTGCTCAGCAGGAAGCCTGCTTCTCCCTCTCCCACTCCCCCTGCTTGTGTTCCCTCTCGCTGTCTCTCTCTGTCAAATAAAAATTTTAAGAATAAATGGCAAAAAGCTTCACACCCCTGTCACTCAGATACGCAGCTCTCCTCTCTAGAAACTTGTCAGTTTATAGTATATCCTTACAGATATTTTATGAATATACAAATACATGTATGTATTATTTTTCACTTAGAAATTATTCCAAACATTAAAAAGTAGCCCGTTTTTTTTCCTTAGCTGCGAAGTAACCCTATTGATGCAGTTTTTAGGTTGGTTCCAATGTCTTGCTGTTATAGACTGCTGGTATGAACAGCTTTGCACAAATACTATTTTGCATATGTGCAAATAAATATGTGGAATATATTCCAGCATGCAGGATTTTAAAGTCAAAGGATTTAGGGCATTTATAAATTTGAAAAATACACTAAATTGTAGTGTATAGAGATTGTAACAGTTTACCTCCCCTCAGCAATGTTAGACGTCTTAAAATATTTTAAGACGGTGCTTGGCTGACTCAGTAGGGCATGTAACTCTTGATCTCAGGGTGGTGAATTCAAGCCCCATGTTAGGCATAGAGATTACTTAAAAATAAATATATAGAAAAATAGATAAATAAGGCTCACATAATAAAAATTCTTTAAAGATTTTATTTATTAGAGCGAGCACAAGCAGGAGTAGCGGCAGGCAGAGGGAGAGGGAGAAGCAGGCCCCCTGCTGAGCAGGGAGCCCAATGTGGGGCTCCATCCCAGGATCATGACCTGAGCCAAAGGCAACCACTTAACCTACTGAGCCACCCAGACACCCCTCACATAATAAAAATTCTATCAGAATTTTTTTAATTTTTAAGACAAATTCTTAAAATTTAAGAATTTTAAGGCAAACATTTCTTTATAGCCTTAATTCATATGCAGAGATTATACAGAGGTGCTAAACTGAGTTCAGTTATAAAACCACTAGTGTTCATTTCATTTTTAGAGTGATTTTCAGAAGGAAAATTTTCTAGTAAATAATGTATATAATACAATTAAAATGGTAAAATTGGATTTTTTAATCAAAATTTTTTCTATGCTTTGTTCTGTCTATCCACAGTACAGTTTCTGAGACAGATGATGAATATTATATTTTCTGCATATACAAATATGGTATTCTGTTATTTTTTTCTTCTCTGCTATTTTGTTGAGGTACACAATGAAATACATTTTAAGTGCTCAGTTCAGTGAAGTGAGGATATGGAGCAACTGGAACTCAGTGCAAGTGGGAGAATGAAATGATACAGCCACTTCAGAGAACTGTTTGCATTTCTTTGAAAGTTAAACATACATCTACCCTGTGACCCAGCAGTTCTGCTCCTAGGTATTTACCCAAGTTTACCCAAGGAATGGAAAGGTGTGTCACAAAAAAACTTGTACAAGAATGTATATAATCATGATAACCAAAAACCAGAAACAACCCAAATACCCATCAACAAGAAGATGGATAAATAAATTGTAGTGTATTCATTATGGAACAGTACTCAGCAGTTAAAAAAAAAATTAGTTTCAAAAATAGAGGTAAATCTCAAAAATACTATGTCAAGTGAAAGCAGCCAGACTCAAAAGAGTTCATACTTTATGATTACATGTACTTGAAACCCAGAAACAAAGATGATAGTGATAGAGCACAGGAAATGGTTTATATTTTCTATTGCTGTCATAACAAATTACCACGAACTTGGGTGTTTAACACTAACTGTCTTACAGTCTGTACATCAGCAATCTAATATGGGTCTCACTGGGCTAAAATCAAGGTGCTGCAAGACTGTTTCTTCCAGAAGCCCTGGGGGAGAATCGATTTCCTTGCTCATTCAGGTGGGTGGCCGAATTCAGTGTTTGTGGTTGTAGGACTGAGGACCCTGTTTCATTGTTTATGTTCCCGGCTTCTAGAGACCACCTGTATTCCTTGGCTTCCTCCATCTTCACGGCCAGCAACAGTGGGTCATGTGCTCCTCACACCTCCAATCTCTCCTGTTTCTTTCCCCACTGTTATATCTTCTTCTGACCTACTTTTCTGCTCTCCTCTTCTACTTTTAAGGACTCATGGGGTTACACCAGGCCCATCCAGGTAATCCAAAATAATCTCCCTATCTCGAGGTCTTCAAAGTGCCTTTGCCATGTAACATATTCAAAGGTATATTCATATTCTCAAGTTGTAGGCATTCTGGCAAGGACACCTTGAGGGGGAGTGGCTCATTATTCTGCCTACTACATGGTTGCTTTGGGGAGATGGAATTTGTCTCCCCAGGGGCATAGTTTTGAAGTGATGGGAATGTTCTATATCTGCATCCAGCATAGGTATATATCATTGTCAAAATTTTTTTTTTAATTTTTAAAAGATTTTATTTGTTTATTTGACAGAGACACAGTGAGAGAGGGAACACAAGCAGGGGGAGTGGGGGAGGGAGAAGCAGGCTTCCCGGCGGAGCAGGGAGCCCACAATGTGGGGCTTGATCCCAGGACGCTAGGATCACTACCTGAGCTG